AAAGAAAGAAAGAAACACAGCAGGAAAGGCATGAAGAGGTGTGAGTGCCCTGCTCAGCTGTGTGGAACGTTTTCCAATCATACTCTTACCTGGCCCCGAGGGAGTCTCAAGGGTGGGGGGTAGAGAGGAACCTCCCTGTACTTGAGGTTCTTCTCCCTGGTCAAGGAAGAGCCAGGATGGCACAGAGGAAGCATTCCCAGTGGCTGAGCCATTCCCACATGCCAAATGACCACATTCAAGCCCTACACTCCTTCATGGCCTGGGCAGGGTTGTCACCATCCTCCTTTATAGATCAGGAAACAAAGGCTCACAGAGGCTAAATCACTGGCCCAAGGCCCTGCAGCAAGGGAATAGCAGAACAGAGATCACTGGGGAATTTAAAGACATCCTTCCTGCTCCTTGCAGGAGGAGGCTCAAGGACAGATAGTGCATCTTGAGGTAGAAATGGTGCCTGAAGAGTAGCCTTGTTGGTCAGACTTCTGGAGAGCAAACGTCTTTTGGCACCAAGCCTGTGCTAAGGCCCCATCCCGGGAGGCAGGCTAGGAGTGGGCAGGCACGGAGGTCAGCACAGACCTGAGGGCCTGACATCTGAGTTGTGCTTTCACCACTCACCACCACTACTGCCCATTGCATAAGCTCACTGCTCACCCTACCAGGACTTCCAGCAGGATGGGGGTGGGAAGGGGGTGGAAGCTGCCGGCAACGGGCTGGCTCACACTCTGCACACACACAGCCCACGGTATACTGTCATCACCCACTGTCCTGAAACAGGCCACATCCTGGCACTCCCTATGCCGGCCTGCTTCTGTGCCATTTACTATCTTAGAAGAACAGCTGCCATTTGCTGAGCACCGGTGACACACTTAGGGGCTTAACATTTGCCCCCTCTCTCTGGTGAACCTGCACAAATAATATTGCCCTTCAACCGCCCTTCACCTGATGCTTTTACCATCCAGTCTTGGCCTTTCATTCACTTTTTATTTTTCACTCTTTTCCCTGGGGTAGAGTGCAGCTGACCACAGAAACTGCAACCTTGAACCCTTAGGCTCAAGTGATAGTCTTCCTGCCTCAGCCTCCCAAATAGCTAAGACTACAGGCGCCTGCCCATGCCTGGCTAATTTTTCTATTTTTTGTAGAGACAGGATCTCACTCTTCCTCAGGCTGGTCTGGAGCTCCTGAGCTCAAGCAATCCTGGGTTGGCCTCCCAAAGTGCTAGGATTACAGGCGTGAGCTACTGCATCTAGCCCTTTAATTGACTTTTAATTATACTAGTAACACCACATGCATTTCCAATGTAAAAATTAAAATTATTACAGTCCAGGCTAAAGTTCCCCTTGGCCACCACCACTCCTTATCCAGCTCCAGTCCTGCTCCCCAGGGTTTATCCAGTGGTATCACTCTGGCTGGGCCCTTCCAGCCCTGCTTCTTTGTTTTACGTTTGTGTATACACGCCCAAGAAAAACCGTCTCTTTCTCTCCTCTCCAGAAGGGCAGGCGGAGGCAAACACTCCAGACAAGAAGGCTAGCAACCAGCCCCAGAGCAGCGATGGCACCACCTCGTCTTGAGACTGATTTGTCCAAGGAGGCTAGAAGAGAGACCTGCTCTCCTCTCCTGGAAGGGGAACCCTGGCACTGGCCTGGCAGCCTCTTCTATGAGCCCCGTGTCCCAGGCAAGCCAGGCCAGACTGAGAGGGCACCCCACAGGCCACTGTGGCCCCCGCTCTGGGAAAGCCCTCTGCCCACAACCCCAGGATCCACATCCCCACCACCATTGCTATGCCCAGGAACACTTTCAAGTCACTGTAACCACAGGATGTTATTTATTCAGCTGGCGCTGAGAGTCCTCGCAGGGCCCTACGTCCCAGGGTGAGCAGCCCCTGCAGGAACACTCCTTTTGTCTGCCTGGGCAGGGACCATGTCCCAACACTGACCCCTCCTGTCCAGTCCCAACCTTCTGGGTCAAGACCTTCTTATCCCTTTTTTAAAAAACACTTTTAAACTTTTTAAAAACTTTAAACATTTTTTCAGCAGAGAAGGAAGAGAGTTGACAATCAATTTACATTTTTTTTAAGCCATTTTAAGCTAAACTCTCACCATCTACATGGGCAGCTCTGAGGTTCCCTCATGGAGCTTCACAGATCCAATTTTAGGGAAGAGATTTTGGCTCAAAACTATCTGACCAATTCTTTGCCCTTTCTACCAAGATAACTGATACCTAGGACCCAGGAAATAAATGCTGATGATCTATGTGACTGGTTTATTTCTCCTATAAACAGCAAAAGAAGGGGTTGGGCCTTGCTTTCTCCAAGTCCACACTGAACTGGACTTGCCCCAGGCTTCCACAGAACGAGACACTGAGAAGACACAGGTGTCCACAGAGGCCAGCACCACTCCTATGCCCAGTGTCTCATGAGTCCTTGTCCATTTCACCCTCTCTCTCCCCCGAGCCCACAGCTTCAGAAACTCCAAAGGAAGCTTTTCCCCTTAACACCTCGAGTAGGCAGGGCTTAGACTTCAGGGAGCTTTTAAGTAGCAACCCTTGCAGAGAACTCTAACTTCTTCTGGAGGGAAGATAGGCTATGGGTCCTCTCTTAGCCTACAGCATGAGAAGCTCTGGCTTCCCATTCACAGCCTCCTCTGGGCTCTCAAGACCCTGCTGATGACAGGCTGGCCACGTCTGGGAGCTCTAGGTCTCCTATTCTCAGCCCACCCAAGACCACAGCACCACACACCATCTGCTACATGACATGATACCAGCTATGAACTTCTTTATTGATCACTGAATTTTCAGTACAAATCACCATAGAAGGAGGGTTTCAGATTCAACCACACCCACCAGTGAGGGCCCTGGTCCCTAAGAAGGGGACAAAATCAAGAGTGCAGATGTGGCCATACCAAGGTATATATGTGTACAGAATCAGGCACAGAGGCTTCAAGAGCATTAGTAGTTGAGTATTGAAATCAGTCTTCTTGGAAGGAATAAATGTAAGAGTATTGGTTGACCCCACAGAGCTGTGAAGACTCCACAGGGTAAAGGCTCAGATAGTTGGCCGTGGCATCCTCAGGGGTGCTTCCCTGCACATCAGATCAGAGAAGAAGAAGGATCAGGCAACTCAGAGTGCCCGGGATGTTGCAAAAATCACAGAGCACCAGAACCAGATAGGGATTTCTACAAACAGACTAAGGCTTAGAGCAAGGACATGCCTTGCCATGGCCATACAGGAAGAAAGCAGAACAGACCAGGGCCCAACTCCTTGCCCTTAGTGCAGCCATGGGGATGCCCCAAACCCGAGAGTTTGGGGACTTGAGATCGTTTCCCCCTCAGACCAGCCTCTCAAGATAGCAGCTGTAGAGAATGTGAGCCAATCTAGTGAGTGGCTATTCCCAGCCAGGGACTACTACCCAAGGAGTCATCACACATTCTTGGTGCTACCCGAGAGAAGAAGGACATTTTGCTAGAAGTCCTACAGAAAGCCAGGTTGGAACTAGCAGTGCAACAGCTCAGGAACCAAGACAGGAACATACCTGCTGTAGCTGAAGATGGCATCCCATAGGCTTTATAGAGCAGATTGAGAAGATCTCTCTTCTCATCTTCTGGGAGGAAACTCGACTTTGCCGCATTAATGTTCTGGGAGGGCCAGGATGGTAGACAACATGGAACCAGAGAGCAAGGACGGGAGCCCTTGGCAATCTAGTGATAATCTATCCCCCTCACTGAACACAGCAGGTGGCTCGGCGCCTATAGCTCAACCGGCTAAGGCGTCAGCCACATACACCTAAGGTGGCGGGTTCGAATCCCCAGCCCGGACCCGCCAAACAACAATGACGGCTGCAACCAAAAAATAGCC